AGGGGAGGCAAATGCCTTTCCCTGAGATCTCCTGAGATTACAGAGGAGATTTCCCAGCAATGCTCTGCTGATGTCACCTTCCCTGGATGCAACGCTTGGGCACATTACATAATTTGTGCCAAAGAGGACCAGGAAGTGGGGAAACAATGCTAAGTAAAAGAAAAATGTTGATTGTAAGAAGATTTCATATCGCTGTGCAGAGCTGCATGCTGATGTGATTTTTAGGAGAGGGGGGAGGGTGTAAAGGTCCACTTAGATTTGTCCGTGCCTGCCCAAAATGATGTAGCCAGTGAACTCCTGATATGTGGACTTGTTTTGGAACTGCTCCGTCCCCCTTTCTTTCAGGGCTTTCATGTTGGCGGTTTAATAAGACATGGTTACATTCAGGGCAGACCCGACCCCAGGGGTGTGGAATTCGTATCGCCCGGGACATGTAGTGCCGGGCAAGTGTTTTTTTCAGTGTTTTAGCCCTGCTACGGACAAGTAGCATGGCTGGTTTTTGTTTTCTTAACTGAGCGGAGCCGAAAACGGGGGTCGTGGAGCAGTGACAGAGCCGGACGCTGGAGCTGTGACAGGCTCTGTCACCTCCCTGCTCGTTCCTATCACAGGAGTTCTAGCACAGTGCCTGCTTGAACTCCTGTGTTGGAGGTGACAGGGTCAATAAAGAGTACCTGTCACCTCCAAATGCTTAAAGCAATGCAGTTAAGTAAAAGGAAAAAAAATAGTTTAAAAAAAATAAAAGATAACTAATTAAAAATGTAAGTAAATAAAAAGGCGATAAAGTAAAAATAATAAAACATGAAAAATATTTTGCAAAGTAAAAATTGAAAAAATGAAAACCAGCCCCGCTGCCCCTATCTACATGCGAATAAATGCGCAGTGTTTTCAACTGCGATTGTGTGCAACCGCACGGGCAGGGCAGTATTGCAGCAGGAAAACGCGCAATCTGCCTGGCACGACATTGGTGCCATTAGAAAATAATGGCACTGCCAGCGCGATCGGTGGTGGTGTGCGATCCGTGACTTCCCGGTCATCGTGCATAAAACAGAGCCGGTGGCTGGGTGGTCACGGAATTGCATGTCACTGCCAATCGCGCTGTCAGTGCCATTATTTTCTAATGGCACTCCAGTCGCGCCAGGCAGATCGCACGGTTTCCCGCCGCAATACCGCCCGGTCGGCCCCTTGCGATCATGGTTGAAAACACTGCATGGTTCATGTTGCGAAATAAGGTACATGTACCTTTTATTTCAGTGATTGACACTCAGATGTAACTCCATACATGCGGATGCAACCGCTGCATGCCTACTGCACATGATCGCACGTCCCGGGAATCCCCAAGTCTCCACCAACCCTAAAGGGTATATTCACTTTCCCAAGTTATTTGGGAAAATGGAATTACCCGCACAAATCTCCCTCCCGCTATACTTACCTTTCGGCGAACGGTCCTTCCCGTCCACCAGTACCAGTGTACTATCTGTACCTGTTCCATGTAATCTGAATTTCGCTCGCAAATTGCAAGCACTCGTTGGTCAACGCGGTCACCTGACGGCACTGACCAATGAGAAGCGCTTCTTAGCACGGCTAAATACGGTTTTGGTTAAAATTATTTTTTTTGTATCGGGACAAGTAGATTCGGCCCCCGCTTTAGTCCTTGCACAAGTAGTTTTTTCAAAAATTTCCACACCCCTGCG